GAAATGACCAGCAACGGGCTTTTAACGAGCTAATCGACAAATTGTGCTGTGTTCCTGTTCTGGTTCTGTATGACTTTGCGGCACAACATGAGGTACACATAGATGCTTGTGCGATCGGGCTAGCAGGAGTCCTATTGCAATCTCAAGACAAAACCAATTGGCGACCTGTCTGCTATTTTAGTAGGCACTGTACTGACGCTGAAAGTAGATACCATAGCTATGAACTCGAGCCGTCGTAGAAACACTTTAAAGGTTTAGGGTGTATATTCTAGGAAAACCCTTCCGACTCGTTACTGATTGTTCCGCCATTGCTAAGGTAAAACTCAATAAAGAGTTAATCCCGCAAGTCGCACGTTGGTGGATTAAAATACTGGACTACGACTGTAAAATGGCCCATGTGGATGCCATGAGCCGCGCTCCCGATTGGCCTCCTGGAAAATCCTTACAGGAAGTAGTGCGCACCATAATTACGGACGTCGATGACTGGTTGTTAACTATACAGCTTCAGGATGAGGCCCTTGTTCAAATTTTTGCTGTATTGAATGGCCACAGTACCGGCAATCAGCTAAAGCAACTTCAAGCTGATTACGTAATCAAAAATCACCGTCTATATCGCAAGGTCGAAAAAGGAATAGCTTTCGTTGTACCAAAGAACGTGAGGTGGCGCATTGTTAAGATGAGTCATGATGATTTTGGACATTTCGGTCTTGACAAAACAATAGGACGAATTCAACAAAAATTCTGGTTCCCCAGAATGCGGAAATACGTGAAAGAATATATCTCAACATGCATTCAATGCTGCTACTACAAATCCAAAGGAGGCAAGCCCGAAGGTTGCATGCATTATAATGACACCGATCCAGTACCATTTCGCAGGCTACACATTGATCATTTGGGACCGTTTGTTCGAAGCAAACGCGGAAATACCCATATACTAGCCTTCAGTAAATATCTGATTGTAAAGGCAGTTTAAAACACAAAAACCTTCCAGTGCTGAACATTTTAAATGAAGTTTCTAGCTACTTCGGTCTGCCAACGATAATAATATCCGATCGTGGAACAGCGTTTACCTCGAAACAATTTGAAGAGTACTGTAAGCACAACCAGATTCAACACATTAAAAACGCTGTGCGAACACCTCGTGCAAATGGACAAGTCGAGCGAGCAAACCAAACTATTCTCAACTATGTACGCGCCATAAACGACAACCCGAAGGATTGGGATCTTACTTTACATAATCTTCAGTGAAGTGTAAACTCTCAAAAGAACGAAACATCAGGATTCAGCCCAATTGATTTGGTGTCAATTTGGTGGAATCATCTCACGGCAGCTATACACGCCGATTTGGGAAAAGATGAGAAGGAATCTGTCATCGACAACAGAAACCAAGCGCTCGTCAATATTGCAAGCGAGCGAGCTAAATGGAAACAACGGTTTGACACGAAACACGCTAACCCTTCTATCTACTCCACAGATAATCTTGTAGTCGTTGCAAACGAACCAGCTGCTACAGGCGAGTCGCGAAAGCTCGAACCACGTTACCGAGGACCCTTTATCGTCGTCAAGGTCCTTGGAAATGATCGTTATGTAATCGAAGACGGTAATCGAAGGTATTCAGATTACAGGACGTAAATACTGTTCTGTCTATTCCTCCGACAAAATCAAGCCGTGGTGCTCCAACATCCCTGAGCTGGATGTTCCCGAAGATGACGATGATCCGAATGCAGGATTGGCCGAGCTGTCACGATCCAGTTCCGATGGAGAAGCATTGAACAGCAACTGTGTGGCAACTCCGAAGCCAGTTGGCGAGTAATTGTGGAACGAGATCGACACGAGCAACGTCAGCTCCGCGAGAACGACACATCGCAACGTACATATTTCATAAGCCAATATATCTATTCATATTTTGTAATCCATTGGTTTATCAATAAAATACCATAACTAATAACACGAGTTAGTGTAATTATTCACCGTAAGACGCGCTATCTATTCGCCTTATTCCTGACAAACCAACAGCAACTCACACATTCCCCTATACAACGCCTAAGTATTGGAAGTGTGTGACAAATACAATTAAATGGAATGTTCGAAGGATGTTATTATTTATGTAAAAAAGAAGTCGCTCAGCATCATTGTAATGATGCTCCTTCAGCTGTCCCTTAGCGGGCGTAATCATGTGAAGAACATAGATTTTAGCAATCATACGGATGGACACACAGACGAACAGTCGGACAGACGGACAAGGCCTGCTCGACTCGGCTAGTGATCCGGGTCAAGAATATGTACATATACTTAAAGGGGTCGGCAACGCTTCCTTCTACCTGTTCACGAATGTGCCACGCCCACTCTAACGCCCAAAACTGTGGCTCCTACAGTTTTGATGCTCGAATACAAATTTTAACTGAAATGTATTGTCCTCATCAATACCTATCGATAAACCCACAAAAAAGTTTCCCACGCCCACTTTAACGCCCACAAACCGCCCACAAACTTCAAAAAATCGTACGTATAAACGCGGATATCTCAGACCCAATTTTGGGAGAGGCCATGTAATATGGCGGGGGGAGGAACGATGACCAGCAGATATCAGTATAGTCGCAGCCATATTGTCCAACTTGGCAGATGCAGCTGGAAGTGCTAGGATACATTTTTTTGTGCTTAAAATTTAATAACAGTGAGTGATAGGAAAGTTACATTCTAGTTCGTAATTTATTAATAATTATTTATAAAGGCAGCCGGGCTCCCAACACAAAGGGCCCCGGGATATTTACTTAGGAGTTTCACTCATATCTGCGCGACTTTGCCACACCTACCAGCCCGTCTTGGCTGCCAGCAACCGGTGTCCGTTCGACCAGCACAAACGACAAGCCAAACGACAAGCCAGAGGTATCGCCATTTTCTCTGGCAGCCGACTCTCGGACTGCCCTTGCGCGACTCACTATAGTGCGCCAGTTTTCCTGTGTGGAGATCCGTATATCCGCTGACCTCCGGCAAGAAGTCTTCAGCCGGGCTATAATCGCCCTCCAGGCCCGGCCCAATAGTGGCTGAAATTTAGCAAAAATTAAATACACGTGTACCTTCATTATATATATTTATATTTACTTCCCTGTTCAACTGTGAATTTATCCGGAGTTAGACCCGAGAGCCTTATTTGTCCTCGTTGTTAGCGTAGAATCAAAAAGGTTGCGAGCATTAGTTGGTATAGTTTACAGTGCAGTTACGTACCTTTTTGGCCTGTCCCTTCTTTTCCCCTGGAGCTCCTCAGGATTTGGTGACCATACACACGCGCATCGCGTATGTTCCGTTGAGGGCCGTGTTTCCATGCGAGCTCTACCAATACGTGACTGGTAGAACATAGTTTCCGCGGCGCCTGTACCCTTTTTTCCAGCAAAACAAATCCTCTGCTTTGATCGCTTAAATATTTTAGACGGTGGCCAAGTATTCGGTCTTAGAGGCTGAGGAAGGATAAATCGGTTAAGAGGAGTATGAATATAAATGATTGTACTTACCATAACCATAAACATTTGTAAAACCCACAAAGTGTGAGTAAGCTTTCCCAGTGGGGGAGATGGAACCGTCGTAGTCGCGAGGAGAGGTCTCCTGCCGACCGAGAATGGGTGGGGCCCTGCAGCAGGGTGGGAGCGCTTGGGCGTTTAAGTGGGCGTGGCAAACTTTTTTTTGGGTCAATTGATTGGTATTGATGAGAACAGCACATTTCAGCTAAAATTTTTATTTTAGCATCATAACTCTAGGAGCCACAGTTTTGGGCGGTTTGTGGGCGCAAGAGTGGGCGTGGCACTCTGCTGAAACAAACTTGCGCTGCGTAAGAAGCTTGTGGGGTCGGAAACGCTTCCTTCTGCCTGTTACATACTTTCCGACGAATCTAGTATACCCTTTTACTCTACGAGTAACGGGTATAAATAGGAGAATTTGAAAGGTGTTTGAAAGTGAGGAAGATTTTTTTATTGTTATTTAATTTTGCTATAAGTTATCGTATTTATTTATTTATTTTGTTGTTTATTATTTTATTTATTATTGTATATATTTATTATCCTATTTATTTATTTATTTATCATATTATTAGTTATTAGGTATGTCGGGTTATTGATATGATTTTCCATATTTTTGCGCAGATTGTATATGGCGAATATACTTGAGCATGCCACTGCCGACTTGAGAATGCGCGCCAGCCTTCTTGCATACCGAAAATGATCTTCCGAAAATGCTGCAACGACCATACTGGTATCTCTGTCTCTCGCAGTGGCTCAATAATTGTCACTTGGTACACGCATTTGATTTAATGCTTTTACACTGACTACCATAATTTAAGATCCGACATGGCCATTCTGACAATTACACGACCTCGTGTACTGTAATCTTAATATTTTAAATATGACTTATAAATCCGTGATTAAAGCTTGTGTTTTCTTTTAATCATCAATTTCGAATATCATTTATTTATTCGTTTATTTATTCAGCCATACAAAAACTTTGCATCCGCCAGGTTATTTCCATTCGAATTTTCAAAGACATCCTCCATTCACAAACATTTTCTTATCGAAGTCTATTGCATATTCATTTCAACCATTCCATACTCTATATGAACATTTTGTTTTGACATAACATATCCTCTCACACGGATATATTATAGCCATTTCAACAAGCCTCAGGCGGGCACTCCAGTTCACTCGGAACATAACCATCTGGCATCTTTCTCAAATCTTCATGACAATATTTATAAGTTCTCTTAATATGCAATGACTTCAAGATATATCTATCTCCTTCTAGAACTTCACTAACCAAAAATGGTCCTTTAAACTTTACATCCAATTTAGTTTGATGCCGTTCTTCATTTTTCAGTAAAAGAAAATCTCCAATTTTATGTCGTTCAACTGCTGCTTTATTTTTTATCGAATCTTATTTTGTCGTAATTAGCTTTGTCTTGCATCATATGGAGTTGCCTTGTTAACGACTACCCCACACCCGTAGGTCCGAAGAGAGGGTGAACTTTAAGGGCGGCGTGCGCCTGGTGGCGCTCGATTGGTGCGATCGGGGCGATCGTTTTATTCTGTTAACAATTCAAATCAGCCTCATACATTTCAAACTAACTTAATCTTACCGCAGTGTGCCCTCCTACGATTCACAAGACAATGAGAAGCACAATTTATGGCGGCATCCATTAAACCGATATTAGTAGGCCCGCACTTCAAGGGCCAAGATCCATACGAGATCGGATAAATTAACAAATACTAGATTTCTCTTACAATACTTAGTCTACCTATCGATTACAATGTTCGACCGTCGACATCCCCGACCCCGTGAAGAACCGCTTCACTCAAATCCAAAACTGCAACTTTTGAGACGGGCCGCAACATTGTCCGAGATAGGCCATTGTCGTTCACGCGCACAGTAGCGCGTCTGACGACTCCATCAGCTCCGCTGTAGACCTCCTCCACGATTCCCTTGCGCCACTCTCTTCTGGGCAAGGCAGGATCGCAGACGAAGACCATATCGCCCTGGCGGATGGGCTCCGTTCTCCGGCACCACTTCTCGCGGCGCACAAGCGTAGGCAGGTACTCCAGGACCCACCTCCTCCAGAAACGGTCTCGCAGCATGCGAGCAATCCTCCACTGCTTTCGCGTAGAACCCTCCTTGGGCAGCTCCGCATCCAATCCAGGCGTATTCGGCAGGTTAGCTGCTCCCTTGAGCAGATCATTTGGCGTCAACGGCGCCTCTTGGTCCGCATCCACCGGCAAGTGGGTGAGCGGACGCGAGTTGACTACATTCTCCGCCTCGATCAGGAAACTCTCCAACACATGATCCCTCGGCGCAACTTCCTTCAGGGTATGGCGCAGCACTCGTTTGACGCACTGCACCATCCGCTCCCATACTCCGCCCTCAGACGGGTTCGTTGGGCAATTGAAATCCCATTCAATGCTTCTGCTGGACAACTCACTCTGTATCCTCTCCGTCTCGAACACGTCTCCAAATCGCTTGGCCTCCCTGTCAGCTCCCACGAAGTTCTTGCCGTTATCACTCCGCAGTCTATGTACTGGTCCTCTACGGCAGACGAAGTTCCTGATCGCTATTATGCAGGAATCCGTCGACAGGTCATGAGCCAACTCCAGATGAATCGCCCTTGTCGTCAAGCATGTGAACAAGGCGACCCAACGCTTCTCTCTGTGACGGGATACAGTCACCAGCAGTGGCCCAAAGTAATCCAATCCGGTGTACTTGAATGGCCATCCTCCCGCTTCCAGTCGATCCTCTGGTAGGGGTCCCATTATCGGCGGCATCGGCCGCGTTCGCTGCAACTTGCACTCGTTGCACGACGAGATTACTTCCTTCAGCACTCGTCTCATCTTCGTGACCCAGAATCTCGTCCGAATCTGAGCAATCGTCGCATCCACGTTTTGATGCTTCATCTGGGCATGAAAGTGCCTCACAATCAAATCCGTAAGACTGTGCCTGTGTGACAGTATTACGGGCCTCATCGCACTGTACGGCATGCACAGCGCGGCATTAACTCTGCCATAAACTCGCAGAACTCTGTGTTCATCCACGTAAGGCGCCAGACCTCGAATCTCACACGAGCTGGCGACGTCCTTTCCGCATTCCGCCGACCTCATCTCGTCGGGGAACGACTCCAACTGGGCCTGTCTGACTAACAGGTTCTCCGCGGCCTCACACTCCGATGCAGTGAGTCCGTACTCCTCGATCTTGCTTCTCTGCTTGCGACACCAACGCGCAAACCTCAAGACCCATGCTGTGGTCCTCACCAGGCGACTGAAGCTCGAGAATCTCTGGAACGGAATGGCAAATTCATCCGCGGCCACCAATGCAAACTCACCGGGCATCTCCTCTTCATCAGGCGCATCTGGAACACGCTTAGTTCCCTCCTCAGGCGCATCTGGAACACGCTTAGTTCCCTCCTCAGGCGCATCTGGAACACGCTTAGTTCCCTCCTCAGGCGCCGGCCAGCCGCTCGCTGGCTGCCTCAAAAATGCGTGTCCGCTTAACCAACGTGATTCCGGGCTAAGGTCCGCCTTATTCTGCGACCGCGTCGCATCATCCGCTGCGTTGTCAGCTGTAGGTACCCACCTCCACTGGGAAACCTTCGACGACTCCAAAATCTCCGCCACTCGGTTGCCAACAAACTGCTTGTACCGGCGGTGTGTGCTGCCGATCCATCTCAGCACCGTCTTTGAGTCCGTCCACAACACCGTCTCGCTGATGTCCACACTGTGCTCCTCCTGGACAGTGTTCATCAGTCTGGTTCCAAGAACCGCTGCCTGCAGCTCCAACCTTGGGATCGACATCGTTCTCATCGGCGCGCACTTCGTCTTTGCGCACACGAAGCTAACCATCACGTTGTCATCCTCGTACGTATCCGGGTCTCGATCGTCGTTGCCATCTCTCCAAAGGAATCGTTGGGAACATCGATCCTCGGGTCGGATCAGCACTTGGTGGAACATCTCCTTGATGTCACCGCAGACTCCGACTGCTCCTTCCCTGAAGTGGAAGAGCACGGCTGGCAAGGGCTTGTAATGGTGAGGCCCCTTGTCCAGCGCCGAATTTAGCGAGGTTCCTCCAACCTTGGCTGCAGCATCGAACACAAGCCGGACCTTACCGGGCTTGTTCGGGTTTTCGACACCAAAATGTGGCAAATACCATAGCCGGTCGCTCGTCACCGCGACCTCATCCTGCTGCAGCTTCCTCGCATATCCTTTGGATACGTAATCCTTGATGATACGATCGTATTCCAGCGCCAACTGCCCGTTGCGCTTCAACTTCTTCTCCACATTGATCAGCCGTCTGTGCGCCATCTCATAGCTCCGTGGCAGCACAGCGTAGTCGTCCTTCCAGAGTAATCCCGTCTGGTAGCGACGCCCCACTTTCACCGTGGTATCTTCGAGGATCCTTTGTGCCCGCGCGTCATCGCTGCCTGCGACCTGTGGCGCGAGCTTCACACCAAAGCTTTCCATCTCGAAGTAGTCTTCCACCATCTTTTCCATCGTATCATCCATTGACACGGCTAGAAGGCAGGACTTCGGTGACGGCGTAGTCGATTGCCCACTTACTGGCCCAAACACAACCCATCCAAGCTCGGTTGCGGCCGCATACGGTCCCTCTCTGACAAACCGCCTCGTCCTAAGTGGCAATCCCAAATGTCCATGGTCCAGTCCGATGAGCAACTTAGGCACCACGTTGATGTAGGGCTTCATCGGCAAACGCGCATCCTTATGCACGCCCTGGACATCTCGTCGACCTAACGTCTGCATTGGCAGACTCAGGCTCGAAACGGAGTACACGTTCCTTAAAGCGTGGCGAGTGGGCTTCCCAGCTCCACTTATCTCTAGGCTCACCACGTTGCTGGGCTCTCTGCTGGCCCTTCCTCCAAATCATTGTATATTCAGCTGTCGATGCACGCCTCGCACTCCCAGATCCCTCCGTAGCTCGTCATCGATCATCGTGACGGAGGATCCTTCATCCAAGAGCGCGTATGTATCCACCTGGCGACCAGCTCCGTACAGCGTTACTGGCAGTATACGGAACAAAAGTCGGCCTCCTTCGGCGTCAACGCAGTTTAAGTTCCTCTGCACGGGTGCCTCCGCTGCCTGCGGGGCCCTTATCTCCAGGCTGTTTCTGGGGACAGCCGACTGTAGGCTCCCCTCGTGGTCCCTGTAACCACCTCGTGGCGAAGACCTCCTGTCCGGGCCGCGTCTGGAAACTGCTGACTGCTGGTTTCCTCCGTTGTGGCTCCTGAAGCCACCTCGCTGCGCCGGCCATCTTCGCTCCGCGTCCGCACCATGTAGCAGACGGTGATGCAATCTGCGGCATCCGTTGATCTGGCACTCGCCATGTACATCGCAGGTTCTGGTCGTATGTCCACTCCGTAAGCATGTGAAGCAGAGCCGATGCCTCCTCACCATGCTCCACCTACCCGGTGGCGAAGCTCCAATGAACTCCCTGCAGCTCGTCGCAGCATGTTGCCCTCCACAAATTGGACAACCTCCATGCCGATCATCCTGTTGATCGCATCCGTTCTGGTCGACGCTCGCATGTAGAACTCGACGCCTCGGCTCCTTTCCCTCGACGTCCAAAACCGTACACACGACGTTTGCGTACTCCTGCAGCCACACGCTGAAGTGCGCCACAGTGGGAAAGGGCTCGATCGATGCAGCGTGCCTGGCCCAGTCTACTCGCTTCATCGTAGGAAGCTTTGCCACAAGCTCCTCCATTAGCGTTGGGTTCCGCAGGTGCTGCTCCGCCTTCGCTGACTGCAAGAAGGCCGTAAGGTTACTCACTCGGGTTGCGAAGGGAACGATCCTCGCCAGGTGCTGCTCCGAAATCGGCGGCACCTCTCGCACGCTGTTCGGCTGGCTGCGTATAAGCTGCTCCGGTCGGCCGAACCTAAAGCGCAGCTGCTCCATCACGGCGCTGACGTTCCCAGGGTGAATCAGCAGCGACTTCACTGTCTCGCGTGCTTCATCCTTCAGCGCCTTCAACAACCTCTGGTTGTTCTCCAAGTCTGTGCAGTTGTATGCTTGGGTCGTCTCCACAAAGGCACAGTTAAAGATCGGCCACTCCTCGGGCTGCCCTCCAAATACAGGCAAGTCCGGAAGCTTCCTTGGCCCGTACACTCTTTGGGATTCATTCGGCGTTATCGGGGCGTAGGACCCAACAAATGGCGATGCTGTTGCCACGTTGTGGGTGCTCCCGCCCGGTAGCACGAATCCATGCGCTGTCTGCGCAACACTTGTAGCACACAGTGGCTCCACAAAATGATTGCTAGTCGTTAGCAATGGCGGTCCACTCCAAGATGGCGGCAGCGTGCAGGCCGCACTGCTCGCACCGACACCGCTATGTGGGACCGGCCCGACCCCGTTAGTTGAGGCCTCACCGTTAGATGTGGCTAATGGCGGTCCGCTCCAAGATGGCGGCCGCCCCGACGCTCCACTGATGGCGCCATCTGCGCGTGGGCCAACTGCGATTGGCGCGCAATTGGCGGTGCTCACACTATTCAGGGCTTTAACCTGTTTTAGCTCCTCCTCCAACGCCGCAATCCTTTTCAAAAGGTCCGACGTGAGGGACTGGTTCGTCTCCCGCTCTGGCTCTGATCCCGCAGCTGTGACAGCAGTACTCCTCGGTTGGGACGCTACTGTAGTCACCGTAGTGGCTGGGCTAGAAATGGCCGCCGCCGAGGTTATGTTCACTCGCGGCCGGTTTTCTGCTCCACTACTCACTGGCTGCTGATCCGCTCGCGTTGCTGTAGGGGTGGCTTCCCCTCCTCTCAGCCGGGAGCTCCTCTTCGGGGAATGCTGCATCCTAACAGGTCCAAATACGGCGCTGCCTCAGCGCTCTCCAAAATGGCGGCACCTGTGCCTTCTGGCCGCTGGCTGCGGCAGGCGATGCTTGACGCTCCTTGCGTCTTCTGGCCCGCTGTCTGCGGACCCCGTGCTTGGCGCTCCTTGCGCCTCCTGACCGCTGTCTGCGGTCTCCTTAACTGACGCGGCCTGCGTCTCCCTGTCGCTGACTGCGACTCCGTCCGTACCCAGTGTTCGGCGCTGTCTGCGCCCGTCTATGTCGCTGCCTGCGACTCCTCTACTGGTACGGGAATTGCTCCTGGCAACTCTCTAGCTGGTCGTCAAGCCGTCCTCCAGCGCAAGTTGCCCTTACAGTCTCCCTAGGACTGCGAATAAAAGGAGTTGTCTTGCATCATATGGAGTTGCCTTGTTAACGACTACCCCACACGCGTAGGTCCGAAGAGAGGGTGAACTTTAAGGGCGGCGTGCGCCTGGTGGCGCTCGATTGGTGCGATCGGGGCGATCGTTTTATTCTGTTAACAATTCAAATCAGCCTCATACATTTCAAACTAACTTAATCTTACCGCAGTGTGCCCTCCTACGATTCACAAGACAATGAGAAGCACAATTTATGGCGACATCCATTAAACCGATATTAGTAGGCCCGCACTTCAAGGGCCAAGAAATCCATACGAGATCGGATAAATTAACAAATACTAGATTTCTCTTACAATACTTAGTCTACCTATCGATTACAATGTTCGACCGTCGACAAGCTTGATTGTTCATATTTTCAATTGCCCTATCTCTAGCATTAACTTTATCTACCTCCATCTCCGTATCATACGGTGGAATCAAACCTAAAGGACGAGTCTCCTTGCCGACAAGTAACTCTAGGGGACTTGCTTTGGTTGTACTACTAACTGTGCAATTCAAGGCAAGTTGTACCTCACCTAAAGCATCCTGCCAAGATCGGTGACTTGATTCAACCGCTGACAGTAGATTCTAAAGGGTACTCATCACACGTTCAACTTGACCGTTTGCACGGCTTCCTCCTGTAGCTATAAGATGAAGCTTAATATTCTGTGATGTACAAAATTCTGAAAATTTCCCACTAGTAAAATATCTACCCTGATCAGCTATTATACGCTGCGGTATTCCGAACAAAGAAATAGATGATTTCATTGCCTGAATACAACTGTCAGAATCTAATCTTAAAGTATGAAACAAATAAACAAATTTTGTTAAGGCATCAATTTGTACTATCACGTATTCCTTAAGATCATTCTTCCCACTTAATTTTCCAGTGATGTCGATATGCACCGTGTGCCATGACACATTCACTTTTGGAATTGGATGTAACTCGGCTTGTATCTTCCCAGATGAACCCTTAACGGTTTTACATGTAATGCAGCTATCGACAAACTTTCTAACATATTTATTCATCTTAGCAAACCAATAATATTTGTCAAGAGTCTTTTTCCATCCCAAATGCATGATGGACTCGTGCACTTGATTTATTACTGACCATCGAAATGCATGGGACACTACTGGCAAACAACGGGTTCTTCCATTTCTCTGGACTTTACGAAACAAGACACCTTTTCTCAACTCATAAGTCTGTGCAACATCATCTGTCAACTCTTAAGAGCAGTGGTCGGCCCACACATACCATCGCAGGTTTGCCTTCCATTAGTGTGAGTGTAACAAACACGAAGTTTGATCGCGGCGTGCTGAAGCCTGACGTTTCTCTGCTTTGCACTGAGATCCTCTGCCGCAGCAACAAAAAAGCGCGCCGAAGCTGAGAAAAAAATGACCCGAAGAGCCATGCCGAAGTCACACGAACATGTACGTTATACGTAAGCGAGCAGAGGATGGGCAGAACACTTCCCTATGCTCACTAGATAGGCCGCTGCCGAACACTGCTTTAGAATTAAGTTTGTTAATGATATCAGTAATTTCAGAATCCTGGCGCTGCTCAGCAGCAAGCCATTCACTTGAGATTTCTGCCAAGTTTACATGCTTTTCAGGGACTAAAGACTTTTCAACTTTTGTGGCTTCCTGAATGTGATTTCTCGATAAAAAATCAACATGCGCCATGCGCTTTCCTTCTCTATATTCAATTTTGAAATCAAACGACTGCAGATACGCCCACCAACGATGCACTCTTGGTGTCAGATCAATCTTTGTCCGCAATGATTTAAGAGAATTACAGTCAGTATACACTACAAACGTACGACCAACTAAATAATGACAGAACTGTTTAACGGATTCTACCACTGCCAAGGTTCTAATTCGTATGAATGGTACCTAGACTCTGCAGGGGAAGTAGTTTTACTAAAATACTCTATTACATAAGGACTACCATTGATTCGATGCATTAACATTGCACCATAATCGTGAGAGCTTGCATCTGTGTGTAACTCTATTGGATGTTGTGGATCAAAAATAACAAGTACAGGCTTATTTATAAGGATAGCAATAATATTTTTTCTAATATCTTCCTACTCGTTATTTCAATTAAACACACTTTTACTCGAAGTTAAGGAATATATCGGTTTCATAATCTGTGAGAACCGAGGCACGAATTTTCGAAAATAAGACGCCAATCCTATAAACTGTCTTACGCTACGAACTGTTTGCGGTGGTAGCAAGGAATTTAACGCATTCATTTTTCGCGGATTAGGCCTTAACTCACCAGCTCGTACCTCATACCCCAAGTATTGTACAGTAGTTTTTAAGAATCCACATTTTTCTGTTAAAAGAGAATCCCGCTGCAGTCAATACATCCAACACAATCCTCAATCTTTCCATACCTAATTCTATGGTAGATGACACCACCATTATGAGATTTCCCAACGCGTTTATAATGGCTCACTGGAAAACAGACGGGGCGTTCTTGAGGCCAAATGGCATTGTCAGATACTCATAGTGACCATCAGGTGTAACAAACGAGGTATATTCAACAGAATCGGGATGAATGGGTATCTGATGGTATCCACTAGCCATATCCAGACAAGTAAAATATTTTGCACCCGCCAGTCTAGCAATCTGGTCGTTGATAGTGGTAAGGGATATCTGTCAGAAACAGTATTGCTGTTCAGTTCAGATCGGATCCGTTCTTCTTTTTAACCAAGAGTATAGGGCTAGCATAGGGAGAGCAACTAGGTCGAATAATGTTACAGTTTAACAATTCTGTTATCCTTTCACGTACAATTTCTTTTTCATTTGGACTCAGACGATATGGACGCCGCTGCACAGTTTTGTTTGAATTAATTAATCTAAAGTCATCTCACCCGTATTAACCTTTGTGCAAGGGATTCCATCAATAAATGCAGCTGAATTGTCTTTGAGTAATTTAATTAAGTTTTCCTTGTCATTACCAATCATTTCAGTATCAACATTAAGTAACAAGGCAGATGGCTCAGATAGACATATTTAGACTTAACAAATTCAAATTTATCAGGTGTCAAGATGATTTCGCATCCTTGACTAAGGAATTCCCTACCAATTACAATATCATTTGTGAGATGCTTATCTGCTATGATATGAAACAGTATTTCTACAATATTTCTTTTAATAATGCATTTAGATAGTTTTTGTAGCTTACTGGAAATGCCAGCGTCGCCAATACCTCGTATTATGACAATATTATTAATAAGTTTGCCATCAAATTTATCGGCAACACTACTTCGAATAAGTGAGCATTCTGCCCCGGAGTCAAAACAAATAGGAAAGATCTCACCCTGGTGTGTCAAAACTCCTTTTGGCTCAGACACAAAACATTGATTACATTTATTCTCAGTAACTGCTCCAGATTTAGCTGCATTGTTCGTGCACCGATTCGCAAGATGCCCAAGTTGTCCACACCGGTAACAGGTCACATTCTGCAAATCGCGATGCTGTTTATTCTCCGATCCAGACCGCTTTAATTTACACTCCGCCATTTTATGTCCTGGTTTCTTGCATAAGTGGCACACGATTTTGGCTCGCTTGCAGTCGCCGCTATTATCATCAGTACTTCCAGCACTCCGCTTTTTGTCAAATGTAAATGCTCTCAGCTCCATCTGGAGTTCACTTCTAGTTTGTACATTTGACGAAAACACCATACGCTGCAAACGGTTGTCAAAATTGGCCATATGCGCAAGTACCGTGGATACAGCTATTTCCTCGGCGTTCATATTGCGCCATTTTGTGGTCAATGACGTCACCATACGGCTTGCGTACACTGCAGGGCACTCGTTGTGTGCTGGACGGCTGTTCAGCAGATTCAGGAACATATCGCATTGCTCAATTAGTTCGCGGCCCGACATATAAGGAGCAGTAGTAAGCAAATATAGATATTTTTTATCGAAAGTGTCGATTATCATAAGCTCTGTGTAAAAATTATACAACTCTGTGACCACGTGCTTTTAAGTTACAAATTTTTAAGTAATACAACCTTTGGGTTTTTCTACAATATGGAAAAAAAGGAGTTTCGTGTCCTGATTAAGCACTGTTTTTTTATAGGAAAAAATACAGTAGAAGCAAAAGCTTGGCTTGATAAACATTACCCAGATTCTTCTCCGGGAAAATCAACCATCAAAGATTGGTACAATGAATTTAAACGTGGTCGTGTGGACACCAAAGACGCTGAACGCAGTGGTCGCCCAAAAACAGCAGTTACGCCAGAAAATGTGGCAAAAATCCGAAAAATCGTATTGGCCGATCGCAAATTGAAATTAAAGGAGATAGCTGATGCCTCAAAGATATCGGAAGGCAGTGTGTTTACGATATTACATGAACATTTGGACATGAGAAAGCTCTGCTCGAAGTGGGTGCCGCGATTGCTAACACCGGACCAAAATCAACAACGCATCGATGCTTCCGAGACGTGTTTAAGCATGTTGAAGCGCAATAGGACCGATTTTTTTCGCCGTTACGTAACCATGGATGAAACTTGGATACACCACTATACTCCAGAATCCAGTCGTCAGTCTTCTGAGTGGGTGGTAGCCGGTGAAAGCCGTCCGAAGCATCCCAAAACACAAATATCGGCGGGTAAGGTTATGGCTTCTGTATTTTGGGATGCACATGGGATTTTATTTATAGACTACCAGGAAAAAGTTAAAACAATAAACAGCGAATATTATATAAAACTGCTGGATCGATTGGATCGCGTTATCACGGAAAAACGTCCACATATGGCCAAGAAGAAACCACTGTTTCACCAGGATAATGCACCATGCCACAAGTCTATGGCAACAATGGTGAAATTGAGTGAATTGAGGTTCGAACTTCTGCCGCACCCACCTTATTCTCCAGATATGGCCCCCAGTGACTACTGGCTTTTTTCAGATCTCAAAAAGCACCTCCAAGGCAAGAGATATCGATCAAATGAAGAGGTGATTGTCGATACTGAGACCTATTTTGAGGGTAAAAGTTCATCTTTCTACAAAAATGGCATAGAAAGGTTGGAGAAGCGCTGGACTGAGTGTATAGCCGTAGATGGAAACTATATTGATGAATAAAACAAAATTTTCAAAAAAAAAAGTGTTTTTCCTTGTTAGGCCGGGAACTTATTGAGCGGTGTGATAGCTGCCGGCGTTTCCTTAATCTCGAAACGCTGTATAAATAGTTCTTTAAACTGCTTCCAATTAATGCCGGGATAGCAGATCTGTGCGAGCCACGCTGAAGCACTGCCCTGCATGCAACTACTCAACATCATGGTAAGTGCGCTGCCATCAATCTGCTGTTCGTCCATAATAATGCTTGCCGTTGCACACCATTGAGTCGCATCGGCTTCAGTTACATTTGGGTTAGATTTTGGCAAAACCACTTGATTTTGTGGAAGCACAGACGATTGCATAGCTTTACACATTTCAACGAAATCGCGATTCTGCTGTTCCATAATAGTACGCCACTGATCTTCAGAAAATGCAGGAGTTGGCACCGACCCCACTTCTGATGTCGGGTTATTAATATGATTTTCCATATTTTTGCGCAGATTGTATACGCCGAATATACGCGCCATCCTTCTTGCATACCGAAAATGCTCTCCCGAAAATGCTGCAACGACCATACTTGTATCTCTGTCTCTCGCAGTGGCTCAAGCATACACGCACAACAATCGTAGTGCGCATCTCCCTCTCAAACCTCTAACCTCACACAACTCTCTCTCTCATGTTCGCATCGAACTATACTGACCATCTGGCGAATAGACGGAACAAAGCGTACTAACAAACAACCGTTAAAGTGCAGAGACGAGAATTGTCACTTGGTACACGCATTTGATTTAATGCTTTTACACTGACTACCATAATTTAAGATCCGACAAGTATTTATTTAAAAATTCTTGAAAGCCATGTCCGAGGGTAAGGACGTCAGGGATAGGCACGGCCACCAGCTCAGATCGATGGGTCCTCCTGGCGACGACAAGGACGATGTCTGGTCCACAGATGTAGAGGGTGACGCTGGGTTGCCGCGGATATCGCTGGCTGAGGGTTTACCCAGAACGCCGGTAGGCGGTAGTGCGGTGGATCGGATTAGGGATCAACCGGCGGATCTGGTACACCAACGGTGGGCCAGGGTCCTTGACTTCAAGGCGGAGCAGAAGGACTCCGTTGCCAGTCGTTGAGGGAGGAGATTAAGATTGGCTTCATGGACATGATGAAGTTGCTGAACGATGTCCTTAGGCCAGCCGAGAGCAAACCGCAGCCGCTCCAGGAGGGCACGAGTCGCCAAGTATCAATAGTGCCCACTCCGTCGTGTCCAGAAGGCGGCGCAAATGGCCCAGCGGAAATTCAGCAGCGGCAGGAGACAGGAGGAGGCTACCGAAAGCCGCCGGAATTGCCACCCAGGCAGCGACCTTGACCGCAGGTGAACGACTCTCCAGGGATCGACAGCAGCCTGAGGCAGGAACCGGAGTATCATCCGGCAGGCAGGAGTGATCGCCACGCACGGCCGTGGTGTATCCAGGACCGAAGGACGGCGAATTTTCGGGACGAGCCGCGGATGTACGCCAATGCGGGCGCCGGCAACGGGAACCGCTACAGCCGCATGGACCGCTGGAACATCTCCTTTGGCGGCGAGGACGATGGCCATTCCGTGGATGATTTCGTGTTCCGTCTAGAGTTCCTGCAGCGGCAGCATCAGGGTCCGTGGAGAGAACTTCACTCGGGCAGAGCGAAGGAGTGGTACTGGGTACACGTACGCAGTCCAGAGTGGACACTTGGGCCCAGCTGCGCAGGGCGCTGATGGATCGGTTCCGTGGTCACCAGACGGAACACGACAGGATTTGTGAGCTTCTACAATGTGAGCAACAGCCGGGAGAGAGCGCGGATGACTACATCCATTCGATGCAGCAACTCGCCTCACGCCTAAAAAACCAATGCCAGAGCGGCAGTTGGTGAAGGTGGTGAAAAAGGGCTTGAAGGACGGCATCGCTAGGTACATCTGCGCGACCTACCAGCCCGACTTGGCTGCCAGAATACGGTGTCAGTTCGACCCGCGCAGACGACCAGCCATAAACGCCTTTCGCAGTCGACGCCGAAGACATCAAGCATTCCCCGGTGAGAGGTATCGCCATTTTGTCTCGCAGCCGAATCTCGGACTGGCCTTGCGAAACTCACCATAGTGCGCCAATTTTCCTGTGTGGAGATCCGTATATCCGCGCTCCAGGCCCGGACCAATAGTGGCTGAAACTTAGGACAAATGAAATACACGTGTACCTTGATTATATATATTGATATTTACTTCCCTGTTCAACAGTGAATTTATCCGGAGTTAAACCCGAGAGCCTTATTTGTCCTCGTTGTTTGCCTAGAATCAAAAAGGTCGCGAGCATTAGTTAGATGGTATAGTTTACAGTGCAGTTACGTACCTTTTTGGACTGTACCTTCTTTTCCCCTGGAGCTCCTCAGGATTTGGTGACCATACACACGTGCATCGCATATGTTCCTTTGAGGACCGCGTTTCCATGCGAGCTCTACCAATACGAGACTGGTAGAGCATAGTTTCCGCGGCGCCAGTACCCTTTTTCCAGCAAAACAAATCCTCCGCTTTGACCGCGTAAATATTTAAGACGGCGGCCAAGAACTCGGTCTTAGAAACTGAGGAAGGATAAATCGAAAGAGGAGCATTAATATAAATGGTTGTACTTACCATATTCATTAAAAATTTGTTAAACCCACAATGTGTGAGTAAGCATTCCCAGTGGAGGAGATGGAACCGCCGTAGTCGAGAGGAGAGGGCTCGTGCCACCGAAAATAAGCAGATGGTAACACCCCATCTAATGCCCACAAACCGCCTAAGCCTGTGGCGCCCACAATTTTCATGCTAGAAAAAAATGTAAGCTGAAATGTATTAGTCTCGTCAATACCTATCGATTGACGCCAAAAAAAAGTTTGCCTCGCCCACTCTAACGCCCATAACGCCTAAATCTGTCTACCGCCCACATAACCATATATTGAGATCGCGGGTAGGTGGCGCATTTCAATCTCGCTTTACTGCTTGCATATGTCCATTTCCCTATGGTCCCTTTAGCTGAGTAACGGGTATCTGATAGTTGATGTACTCGACTATAGCGTTCTCCCTTGTTTAAACATGTTAATATTAAAATGTTTTAAATATTTAAATCAATTTTAACGGACTAAGTTTCTATAACTAAACTTAAAAATTATATTGTAATTAAAATGTATAATAAGTAAACATAACATTATAAGTTAATTGAATTTACTTAATATTACTATAATATAGTTAACTACTATAGTTAACTTTTGTAAAACAATATTAGTTGTTTTTTATTCGATATACAACATTGCTCCTAAAATATTACGGCATTCACATGTCGCTGCTCCACGAAAATTTTTTCGCCGAAATGTTAATCGCTAGCCGAACATAATGGAGAGACCCAAAAGAAATAACGGATCGGACAAAATTTGTCTCTGAGAGCGCCGAGTGCAGACAGATTATACGACAAAGAACAAGAGGGAACCTCCGAGTATCTGCCCTCTTTTTTTCACGACCGTTTTCGTCGTCAGTCCTCTAAGCTGCGCCGACTTCTCTGCTGACGTCAACAGCGGTACAGCGTTTTAGGCACAAAAAAAACAAAAAGTTTTTACCTTGAGCCCCCTCGTCACCGCGTCCCTACTTCAGAACTGAAGGGGACTAATACATTTTAGTTAAATTTGTTTTCTACCATAAAAAACTGAGCGCCCCACAGTGTTCGGCGGCTTGTGGGCGTTAGAGTGGCAGTGGGATATTTGCGTGACAAACTTGCGCTGCGTACAAGGCTACGAAATCTAAATCTGGAATCCCACTTCTATATCTATGATAGTTTCTGAGATATCAGCGTTCATATTTGCGATTTTTTCAAGATCGTGTGCGGCTTGTGGGCGTTAAGGTGGGCGTGGCAAACTTTTTTTTGGTTAATGGGAACAATAAATTTCAGTGAGTGAAATCTCATGAATCTGCATGCCTAATCCCAGTATTGTAGCTTTTTAAGTTCCCGTGATCACAGCGTTCATACGGACAGACATGGCTAGATCGACTCGGCTAGTGATCCTGATCAAGAATACCCTTTAGATCTGCAGTAGGCTCGGAGCGACTTGTCGATGGCAAAAATCTTTTTCGTTTTTTTGTGCCTAAAACTCTGTGCCGCTGTCGAAGTTTTTTTTAAACACAATAATGCTCCTAAAATATCGGACAGGCCGAAACTTGTCTTTAGCCTTTAATCTATTAATTAACATAATTTGAACATTTCGCGTTTATTTATTTCTTTGTGCACCAGCAGATCCATCTTTTTTAAATCGTCAACAAAACAGAACAAGCCACGCTACATGCATTGCGGGTGACATTTAAAAACTTAGGTAACATTAAAAAGAATTAGATTTTCGACTAGTAAAACTCTACAATGAATTAGATTTTTCGACTAGTGACACTCTTAGCCGATCTAAGTACTAGGCTTTATAAATTAAATTGGTTTTTAAAGATCTAACTCGCTATAATAGGTAAAGCCTAGTACTCAAATCGGCTAAGAGTTTCACTAGTAGAAAAATCGTATTCTTTGTAGTGTGACCGAAGTTTTTAAAGTTCACTTGCAATGCATGTGGCATGGTCTTACTGTCAAGCGGGATGTTGTCGATAAACGGAAAACAAATCAATTGGAGCAATTTAAATGAGAAAAGCCTGCTGGTGCACAAAGAAATGAAAGTAAAAATAAATGAAATGAAATGAAATGATATGTTCAACGAATGTTTTTTTTTATGTAAATTAGAAGTTTAAGGCTACCTTCCCGTCCTACGGATGCTTCGACATTTTTCCCGCACCATCTGTAGTCCAGCTCCGAGTCCCAATAGGCATGTTGGACCTTGAGGAAACGGGGCCCAGATTGGGCACGGGGTTGATCCGCTGATACTGCAGGAAGTCGCCCAGCATCTTGGTAATGGCTGGTGATGGCTCCCCCAGATGTCCCTTAGCAAGCGACCTTATTTCCTCCTCCCTATAGAAGCCGGCGCGTCCTCCATCTCCGCTTTAGCTGCCAAGTAGCTGGTGGAGGTGGAGTTCTCAATGGAGAGCTCGTCGGAGATCGAGCGATGTCCCATGTTCCCTCCCACTGGGATTCGCTAGTGGATCTCCTCCAGCACTTCAACTATTCTGCGGATTTGCCCTGTTGTGGTATTGCTTCCTGTCGGTCAAGTCCCACAATAATAGGCAACAGCTTGGGTTAGGCCTCCTTTTTAATCTGTACCACCTTAAGCCGTTTTTGCGGTTTTTCTTACATTTTTATAACCGTTACTCGTGGAGTAAAAGGGTATACTAGATTCGTCGGAAAGTATGTAACAGGCAGAATAAAGCGTTTCCGACCCCATAAAGTATATATATTCTTGATCAGGATCACTAGCAGAGTCGATCTAGCCATGTCCGTCTGTCCGTCTGTCTGTCCGGATGAACGCTGAGATCTCGGAAACTATAAGACCTAGGCTATTGAGATTTGGCGTCCTGAGCTTCTTAAGCAGCGCAAGTTTGTTTCAGCAGAGTGCCACGCACACTCTAACGCCCACAAACCGCCCAAAACTGTGAGTCCTACAGTTTTGATGCTAGAATATAAATTTTAACTTAGTTGTATTGGTCTCGTCAATACCTATCGATTGATCCAAAAAAAAATTTGCCACGCCCACTCTAACGCCCATAACGCTTTAATATGTCTACCGCCGATAGGTGGCTCATTTTAATATCGCTTTGCTGTTTGCATATCTCCATTTAGCTGTGTAACGGGTATCTGATAGTCGAGGTATTCGACTATAGCGTTCTTCCTTGTTAATTTTTAAATTACCCACCGTTTCTGCACGAGCACCGCCAAAGATTAAACTTCTTATTCTTTGGGCCGCGGCTAACGGCGTTCATCAGAAGTTCACTCGCAAGATCTGGTATTTTTTCGGGTATTTCCTTAGCTCATCTGAGTACCGCGCTGAAAAACAGACCCGACGAAAAGCGTTAGCTACGTATTTGCCTCTCGCTCACTCCTACGGTTTTCGTCGACGTATAATAATAAGAGATATAATATAAAATAAGAGAAAAAGAAAACAGACTATCGTTGGATCGTTTAGATAGTCATCTGGGGGTGACGAAAAATACGGTGAATTTTTACCATAACTTCTCTACACCGTAAGTACTTACACCACTAACACCTATTGCTAGTTTCAAGGACAGCGAAGGAGAACTGCGAATCACCAGTAAGCGCGAAAGACTTAATGTGTGGAAAATGTTAAGGATTCAAAGCTGAGGCCAGATGGAATGGATAAGTTGACGTTCAACAATATACCCTATTATTTGGTTTAACATCGATGTTTCATCGTTTTTTTTTTTATTAAATCATCGAAAACATCGATTTTTCTCCACCTATATTAGCTAGTTTCGATAAGTACTTCCCGCGCGTGAAGTACAAATTGCGATTACATTCCATGACCCTACAAATGTTGCAACTTGTTTTTGTACATTATTATTTCGAGTTTTTAAGTTATTAATAGCCTCTGCACACATCCGCTTAAAATCGCTGTTGCAATTCTTGTTCACATAGACAATCGCTTCCGAAGGGAGAGGACGTGCAAACTGAATTTTTCCGAAAAAATTGTTGCAATTGGATTCGAATGGGAGCGACGTTATCGATAGGTTAGGTCGATAGGGCGATAGCTGCAGCAGCGGGATGAGTCTTGCGGGCGATCTGGCCATTTAAAGATTAGTCCCGGTTCGCTCTGGGATTACTTTAAATGGACCCATGAATCCAATGACCCAATTTTGAGAGAGGCCATGTAATATGGCGGGGGGTATGAACGATGATCAACAGATATCGAGATAGTCGCGGCCATACTGTCCAACAATCAAGGCAGATGCATCTAGGAGTGATAGTATAAATTTTCTTTGTGCTTTAAATTAAATAGTGAGTTGTGTTAAAGTTCTATAGTAGTTCGGTATTTAATATTTATCATTTATAAAGGCAGCCAGGGTCCCAATACAAAGGGCCCCGGAAGATTTATTTGGATTCTACTGACATCTGCGCGACTTGCCATACCTGCTAGCCCGACTTGGCTGCCCAGCAACCGGTGTCCGTTCGACCCGTACCAGCGACCAGCCAGAAAAGCCTTCCACAGTCGACGCCGACGACGTCAACATTTCCCGGTGAGTCCGTTCCGGCGTACCGCGGCCTCCTCCTCTCGGGGACTTCCAGCGGTCGCATTGCGGCGCTGAGAAGTATCGCCATTTTGTCTGGCAGCCGAATCTCGGACTGCCCGTGCACAACTCACCGGAGAGCGCCGTTTTCCCGTGTGGAGATCCGTATCGCTGCTGGCCTCCGACGGGAAGTCATCAGCCCGGGCTATCATCGCCTCCAGGCCCGGCCCAACAGCGGCTGAAATTAGGGAAATTTTGAATACACGTGTACCTCGATTATTTATTTTGATATCTACTTACCTGTTTGTGAGTTTATCCGGAGTTAGACCCGAGAGCCTTATTTGTCCTCGTTGTTTGCTAAAAATTAAAAAGGTCGCGAGCATTAGTTAAATGGTATAGCTTACAGTGCATTTACGTACCTTTTTGGCCTGTCCCTTCTTTTCCCCTGGAGCTCTTCAGGATTAGGATTACACACGCGCTTCGCACATGTTCCTTTGAGGGCCGCGTTTCCATGCGAGCTCTACCAATAAATGACTGGTAGAGCATAGTTTCCGCGGCGCCTGTACTCTTTTCCAGCAGAACGAATCCTCTGCTTTGACCGCGGAAATATCCGAGACGGCGGCCAGGTTTCGGTCTTAAAGGCTGAGGAAGGATAGATCTGTTAAGAGGAGCATGTATATAAACGATTGTACTTACGATATTTATTAAACCTTTGTAATACCCACAATGTGTAAGTAAGCTTTCCCAGTGGGGGAGATGGAACCGCAGTAGTCGCGAGGAGGGGGCTCCTGCCGACTGCGAATGGGTGGCGCACTGCAGCATCTTGAGGGCATCCATGGTTGGGTGGGAGCGCTTGGCTAGGACATCGATAGCCACCAAATGTAATCCATTTTTCCGTCAATATTTGTAGATTTTTGCTTTGTTTACGTTTTTTTTGTCATTAGTGATGACCGATAATTTAGTAATGTGAGACCATGAAGTATCGATATTTATGTTGCGAACTGTGGCATTAGGGGTACTCTGCCCTGAGGAACGACTGAGATAGCGGCACTGCCACCAAAAAAAAAAAAGCAGTTCGTAACATATTGGCGCCCAATTTAAACAAAATAAATTGTCGAGGCGACGACGTCTCGCCCATTTATGACCCTGACGCCCCCGCCATCACGACCTGTGGCTTGCAACATAGATTGCAATTGCTAGGGAGTGGTCACGGGGAAGTCAGCTGTGTAGGGAAGTTGGAAGTAGAACGGGAGGCGGGTCGGCGGACATGGCCGACGATTTGCTCCTGGTCACAGGTTTGCCAGTGGACCGGTGATGGCATCTTGGAGCAAACCAAGATTTGCATCACGGGATGCACTGAAGGAAATCAGTGATAATTTCTGTGATAGAGTAGTTTTAAAGCTTGTATTTTGTTATTTAATTATTTTAATGTTTTTTGTTAGGATGTTGGGTTCCTGGGTTTTTCTCCCCGTCCTGGATTTCTAATTTTATGTCGGTTGTAAACTTAATTGCGTAATCGTGACCCGTAGCAACCCTACGCGTTGCACGGTTACCCCGATTTAAAATAGTGTTGCAATTGGAGTCGAGTGGGAGCGACGTTATCGATAGTTTAGGTCGATAGGGCGATAGCTGCAGCAGCGGGATGAGTCTGGCGGGCGATCTGGCCATTTGAAGATTAATCCCGGTTCGCTCTGGGATTACTTCAAATGGCCCATGTATCCAATGACCCAATGTCGAGAGAGGCCATGTAATATGGCGGGGGGCGATGATCAGCAGATATCGTGATAGTCGCGGCCATACTGTCCAGCAATCAAGGCAGATGCAGCTAGGAGTTCTAGTATAAATTTTCTTTGTGCCTTAAATTAAATAGCAGCCGGGGTCCCAATACAAAGGGCCCCGGAAGAATTTATTTGGACTCTACTGACATCGCCATACTTCGACATACCTACCAGCCCGACTTGGCTGACCAGCAACCGGTGTCCGTTCGACCCGTGCCAGCGACCAACCAGGAAAGCCTTCTACAATCGACGCCGACGACGTCAACACTTCCCGGTGAGTCCGTTCCGGCGTACCGCGTCCTCCTCCTCCTCTCGGGAACTTCCAGCGGTCGCATTGCGGCGCTGAGAAGTATCGCCATTTTGTCTGGCAGCCGAATCTCGGACTGCCCGTGCACCACTCACCGGAGAGCGCCGTTTTCCCGTGTGGAGATCCGTATCGCTGCTGGCCTCCGACGGGAAGTCATCAGCCCGGGCAATCATCGCCTCCAGGCCGGCCCAGCAGTGGCTGAAAATTAGCAGAAATTAAATACACGTGTACATCGATTATATATATTGATATCTAATTACCTGTTTGTGAGTTTATCCGGAGTTAGACCCGAGAGCCTTATTTGTCCTCGTTGTTTGCCTAAAATTAAAAAGGTTGCGAGCATTAGTTAAATGGTTTAGCTTACAGTGCATTTACATACCTTTTTGGCCTGTCCCTTCTTTTCCCTTGGAGCTCCTCAGGATTAGATGACCATACACACGCGCATCGCGCATGTTCCCTTGAGGCCCGCGTTTCCATGCGAGCTCTACCAATACATGGCTGGTAGAGCATAGTTCCCGCGGCGCCTGTACCCTTTCCCAGCAAAACAAATCCTCTGCTTTGACCGCGTAAATATCCGAGACGGCGGCCAGGTTTCGGTCTTAGAGGCTGAGGAAGGATAAATCTGTCAAGAGAAGCATGTGTATAAATGATTGTACTTACCATATTTATTAAACCTTTGTAATACCCACTATGTGTGAATAAGCTTTCCCAGTGGGGGAGATGGAACCGTAGCCGTAGTCGCGAGGAAGGGGCTCCTGCCGACTGCGAATCGGTGGTGCCCTGCAGCATCTTGAGGGCATCCATGGTTGGGTGGGAGCGCTGGGCTAGGACATCGATAGCCACCAAATGTAATCCATTTTCCCGACAATAATTTTAGATTTTTGCTTTGTTTACGTTTTTGCCCTTAGTGATGACCGATAGATTAGTAAAGTGAGACCGCGAAGTTATCGATACTTATGTTGCGAGCTGTGGCATTAGGGGTACTCTGCCCTGAGGAACGACTGAGCTAGCGGCACTGCCACCAAAAAAAAAAAGCAGTTCGTAACATATTTTCGCCCAATTCAAACAAAATAAATTGTCGAGGCGACGACGTCTCGCCCATTTATGACCCTGACGCCCCCGCCATCACGACCTAAGGCTTGCAACATAGATTGCAATTGCTAGGGAGTGGTGACGGGGAAGTCAGCTGAGTAGGGAAGTTGGAAGTAGAACGGGAGGCACGTCGACATTGCCGACGATTTGCTCCTGGTCACAGGTTTACCAGTGAACCGGTGATGGCATCTTGGGGCAAACCAAGATTTGCATCACGGGATGCACTGACGAGAATCTGTGATAATTTCTGTGATAGAGTAGTTTTAAGGCTTGTGTTCGGAGCAGATCGCCAGCGCCTAGTCATGCGCGCATAGGTGTACGACGGCACCTGCATCGCTCTCTGCTTATCTTTCGCCTTCTTTCTTATACCCTCAAAGCTGTCGCTTATCTATTCAGCAACTACTTTGTAAGCCTGCATATGTCTATATGAAGATCTTGGAGCCAAGCTTTTTGCACATTCACAGTCCGTCTGCCGCTCCGAATAAACGCTATACATTTTAATATAACCTATTCGTGCGTTATTAATTATAAATATAAGGGTGGCATATTTGTTGTCTTCCCCACAAACATTTGGTGACCCCGACGTGATAGCAGTTTTTATCGGAGTCTGCAGCTCGGTCTCGCGATTGTTTAATATAGTTTAAACAAACGCTTTGTTTCGCTGTCGTTACCGTGCATTCGGGCACAAACATACGAACACACATACATACATAAGTGCATATAAAAGTGCACAGCCGGCCGTTTGATTTTTTGTACATTTTGCGCTGTGAAAAAACACCGAAACTGTGTTGTGCAAATAATTCTTAACAAAGTGAATCGCATTTAATCTTTGTTAATAGCGCATATTACTTATATATATGTACATATAGCCATACATACATTCGTTTGCCAGTTACATATATCCGCTGTTGCTAGGCAGGCAATTTATCGGCAAGAACAACAACAACCAAGTTAAAGGTTCCGTTGCATCTCAGCGACGCTTGTTAACCTTCACGTTTTCGCGGTAAAGGGTATACGGTGTTTTGTGCCTCTAACGCGGTCGGACATTTTACTTTACTTCATTTTCATTTCATTTTTTTCTTTCTCGTGATTGAAAAATGTCTGATACGGAAAACTCGGTTCGGGCTCAAAATGAATCCACAAGTGACGTCGACTACTACCGAGTCAAAGCCCAATCTATTTTGCGGCAAATGAGCTCGATGAAATGCTATTTAAACGCTGATGCGGGTAATCAGTTTGACGAATCTGATTTGCTGGCTCGAATGGAATGGATCAATTCCTTAAACCAGGCATTTGATTCTGCGCAGACATCGTTGGAAAGACTGGACTTTGCAGAGATCTCGAGCGACCATCGGATTGAATTTGTAGAGGTTTTCATGGATGTGAAGGCGAAACTAAGCCGAGGCTTGGCTGCTCATCGCAAGTCACAATTGCCGGCTTCAACCGCGGCAAATTCAACATCTATTGACATCACTAATAATGCGGATCTTTCTTTTCGATCTAGAAAGCCTCGGTTGGCAAATTTGGAAATTGCTCGTTTTCATGGATCCTACTCTGAGTGGCCGGATTTTCTTGCGACTTTCACTACGGTCATCGGAAATGATGATGAGCTAAGCGACATTGAAAAATTACAATATTTGCGTTCGAGTTTGGGCGGCGTGGCTCTGGAAACCATACGATCGCTCGAACCCTCGAATGCTAATTTTAAAAAGGCTATGGATTTGCTGGTTAATCGATTTGATAATAAAGTTTTACACTTTCAGGCACATGTTCAGGCAATATTCGGTTTAAAGGGTGTCGAGAAGGGATCTTCGAAGGGTCTTCGGGAGCTGAGCGATTGCATGAATTCGCATCTGCGAGCAATTCGAACCCTGGCCAATACGCAACAAATTTTGGATGGACTTTTAATTCACATCGTCACTCGGAAACTGGATCAGAGGACGCGGGAAAAATGGGAAGAGGATTTGTCAATCACTGAGCTGTCTACCTGGGATGCTATGGAGTCGTTTTTGGAAAAGAGGTGCAGGATGATGGAAAACTTGGATCAAGCCTTGGTAACTCAAACACCAGGTCAGCAGGTGGGAAAAAACTTGCACAAATATAACCAAAATACACTTCATGCATCTGCTACTAACTCAAATCATTTGACATGCTTATTTTGCGATGCACGGGATCATTATTTGCCAAAGTGTCCTCGATTTTTAAATTTGAGTCCGAATCTTCGATATAGAGAAGCAAAGAAGTTGCACCTTTGCCTCAACTGTTTGCGCAAGGGGCATAGTTTGCAGCAATGCAAGTCGACTCACTGCAAGTATTGTCGCATGAAGCATCATTCATTATTACACATGAACCATGACCCATCCGCAACATCAACCTCATTTTCATCTCCATCATGCGATCCATCCTCGAGCTCTCAGCCATTACCATCTACTTCATCAGCATTAGTATCATGTTCGCATACATCATCGCATCCTGATCATCATTTACCAAGCCCTCCACCCAAAGCCTTAAATATTTTGCCGATCGACTACGTGTTGCTTCCAACTGCTATTATCTACGTCAGAAATAGAATTGGAGCATTTATGCCTTGCCGAGCAATTTTAGATTCGGCCTCCCAGCTAAACTTCATAACCTCTCGCTTAGCCAGCCAACTAAACTTGAATCACAGAAGATCGCAAACGTCGATTTCTGGGATAGGAGAATCTTCCATGATCTCTGATAAGACTGTCGATATTCTTGTGCAATCACGGGATGCAAGCTATCGAGCGGCATTCACAGCGGTTGTGACTCACAGTATTACTGATTATCAACCCCATTTCAATATAAATGCAACATCGTGGAGGATACCGCAAAACATTTCACTCGCTGACCCTAATTTCAATCAATCACAACGAATTGACCTTTTACTCGGCGCTGGGTTGTTTTTCGAAATAATTTTTATCGGACATATTCATTTGGATAGGGCTTTGCCAACTCTTCAGAACACCAAGCTTGGTTGGATAGTCTCTGGAGGGTTATCATCGAACATGCCAACTCATAAGTCGGTTTTACAAGCCAGCATCAAGGACCCAGCTGATTATTCCGATGACACACTTTCCGCCATTGTAAAGCGATTTTGGGAAATTGAGGACTTCACTTCGTCTAAGCCATCTTTGTTGCCGGAAGACTTGCGATGTGAGCAACTTTTTACTGAAAATTGCATTCGACTTGGAAACGGCCAATACTCTGTTCGTCTCTTGACCACTTCCGGATTCGAATCTTTAGGTGATTCTTATTGCTTGGCTCGTCGTCGTTTCAAGAGTTTGGAAGCTAAATTAGATAGAAACCCAGCCCTGAAAGCTCAGTATTCAGCATTTTTGAGGGAGTATATCGACCTAGGTCACATGTCTCTTGTAACTAAGGAACCGCCAGAAACACAATTCTTTTTGCCCCATCATTGCGTACATAAGCAGGAAAGCACGAGTACGAAGCTTCGTGTCGTTTTTGATGGATCTGCTAAAACAACTTCTGGTAGCTCTCTGAACGACTTACTTCTGGCAGGACCAACAATTCAACAAAAAATCTTCAATATACTGCTTCGCTTTCGATTTTTTAAAGTTGCCCTTTGTGGAGATATCTGCAAGATGTACCGTTGAGTGCGTGTTTCGTACCCGGATGATTTCTTGCAGTGCATCGTTTGGAGAGAGAGCTCCAGGAAAGAACTGAGTGTTTTTAAATTGAACACGGTGACTTACGGAACCAAGCCAGCTGCCTTCTTGGCTATAAGGGCCATGCATCAACTCTCTTACGATGAGGAGGAATCATTTCCTATTAGAGCAAAAATTGTTCGTAGAGATTTCTATGTGGATGATTTAATATCTGGTGGGGACTCAGTTGAGGAGGTGAGAGAAATTCGTCGTCAGGTGAAGGA